TTTTTTGCATATTTTTAAAAATATATTTATTATTATATTTACAAAAATTATTTTACATTTCAAATAAAATTGGAAATTTTTTAATAAAGATTCTATTAAATTGATAACATTACTTATGTTAGCAATATTTAATAATTAATGTAAGAGAAAATTTCTAAATAACGGAGAGGAGAGAAAGAGAATTCTTGAAAATTTATGACATATAAATATAAACTTTAAACTAATAAATAATAGAAAATAAATTAATTTTTTTAAATGCGTGAGTAAAATATTTTCTATCGTTATAAATAAATAATCTTGACAAATATTTTGGTACGGTGGAATGGAAATGCGATTAGTTGCACGTTTAGTCTTTAGCTAAATTTAGTTTTGACGTTGGAAACGAAGAGAAAAAACGGCAAAAACAAGATGAACGACGTATGTATGTAAAGACAAGAATGCATCAGCTGCATTCTTTCTGCATGGCGACACAGTTTCGCAAATAATTTTTAAATAATTGATCAGACGTTTCATGAATAAATTTTCATAGAAGTTACATAAAGAAATATTGAGACGCAATTGGTATAACTAAAACAGTAAATTAAAGTATATTTTTGCAGAAAAATATGAAATTAAAATTAATTCCTATAAAGCGTATGAAATAAATCTTTTGTTTAATATCAATATTTAAATTTTATGAATTTTTAACAAACGTGGCGCACCAATAGTGCTACGAGAGATTGGCAATGAATTTTATAGATATTTCCGAAACATTAAAAAATATTTAGGCAAAAATAAAATTATAAAAATTAATAAAACAGTAAATTATAAAATTAATTTTTGAAATAGTAAATAATTACAACATTGACGCCTTTAATAAAAATTAATGTTTTTGTTTATTTTTATTTTACTTTAAGCAATACTGCACCATAGAAGATTGATTTTGATTTGTTTTACGTTTTTCAATCAACTGACTTTTTAATAAAGAAAGCTGTTTTTCACGATCATTAATCGCTCCAAGAAAGATATTGAGCCTCTTGAAATCATTGGGTATAGTCTCCAATGTGCAAACGTTGGAGTATGGACAGCTGGTCCAAACTGGTCCGTCATCCCAGAGCAGATCTAGCCCTCCGATTCTGGTCTCGTGACCGCTGAAGCGACCCTCCCCCCAAAAAGAATTATCGATTTATTTATGCGAAATATTTTTCTCTTTTTGTTAAGACTTTTGTATAAAAATATTTTTATGTAAAAGAAAAAGAATGTGTTTTATATTACACACACGCGTGCATAGTTTTTATCCTCATTAAAGGAAAAGAAGGATTTTAACTCATGATTTACCTCAAAGTCGAGGACGTTGAGGACGTCGTCGATCAGGTCGAACTTGAGACGATGGTCCTCGTCATCTGTGCCCGTTAAGGCGGGGGACGCGTTGACTTCCAACAGCCAAGGTCGCAGATCATCGCTGAGTAACACATCGTAGCCGTAGAGCTCGAAACAGTTGCGGTCCTGCATCATGGCTGGTTGCACTGCCAGTAGGCTTGCCATTATTACACCTGCGTATGAATATAAGTAGAAATATATATACAGGGTGAATAACATAAAACGATCGACACGCATATTATTTGTAAAATATTTATAATATAATAGTAATTTTATAAATGTTTATAAAAATTAAGGTTTTATAATTATTATACAAATTTTCTTTATAACAAAATAATATCATGAGTACCGGTGATTCGTTGCATCAAGTTTTCAACTACTTCCCTTCCGTGCTCAACTATCAAATAATCCTTGAGCTTGCATAAAGCCCATTTGCAGCCATCCCATATATCATCCCATTTTCCATTTTGACTTTCTATTAAAGGGACATTTTCAACATTATGACGTGCCTTCAGTTGTATCGCCATATTCGTCAAGTGTACTCTGTTATCTTCAATATTCTTCAGATCGAATAATCGACTACATAAACGAGCAAAACCTTCTCTAGCTAGCCATACCTTCAGAGGGTGAAATGAAGTCACTAATACGTATATACGCAAGTCGAATTTTCTTCCTAAAATCAAGAATTTATCCTTTATTGTTGAATGAAAATGATAACGAGATGATCTTTGAAAGATCCGATACAAATGGAATTAAATTAGAACAGTTTAATATTAATATCAATTAAGTAATTTTTCGCAATCTTGAAAACTTATTATGGAATTTTTAAATTAATTTGTAATATTTAATAATAATGTTACAATTAACAATAGTTAAAATGATTTCTGTTATATAATATTTATAATCTGTTTAATATTTAGTGGCAATCTTGAGAATTAATTAGCAATAGGTACAATTAATTATGCAATCTCTAAAATCAAAATGTGCTGTGCCTTTTTTAAATACCTTATCTGCTACTATATTTAGATATTTATTAATAATTTGACGTGAAATGCATATGTGCACGCATGCATGCACGCACATATTTAATATAATAATATTTAAAAAATTACATTGCACGCACGCACACACACACACACACACACAAAAGGTGTTTGACATGTGTTACAGTTATAATTAATATATTTTTTTTTAATTGAACACCGAATTAAAAGATTTGATTGTAAACCTGCGACGAGATAAGGATTATCTATATATCTCTGAACGACGAAAGTCTCAGTTGGAGTTCCTGGCTGTTGCGGCTTGGTCTCTCTACTCTTCCATTCTATCAGATCCTTCAGCTTCCTGAACAAAAAGATGCCTTTGCCTTGCGACCTCGCTGCTGGTTTGACGATCCATATTGCTCCACGTTGTCTGTGATTGTGACTAATTTTAATCTCACGAAAAATTTTACAATAATTTATTTATGTCTTGAATATTTTTTTATTTTTTGAATACGAAATATGCGAAATATACTAAATTTCCTATGGTTTTTAAATAAGAATATATATCTATATAACGATATAAAAGCATTTGATACTTATAGACAGAGAAAATTATTATAAAATTATTATAAAGAAATGATTTATATGCAGTTAATATATAAAAATATTATATATTTTAGTATCTATTATCGATATTCTTTATTTAAATATAAAAAGAGTGTCTAATATAATATTTATAATATTTAGATAAAAAGGAGAGTAAACTGAAGTTAATTTGTGAAATAAGATATTTAATAAAAATTAATGATGATCAAATCAATTATGATTTAATTAATAATAAATCATGGATAAGTGATTCTACTTGTGATACTCTTCGACGAACATTCGATAATCGCTGGGCAGCTCGAAAGTCACAGGCATGGCTTCGCAGATACGAGCCTCATCCATTTTTCCAGCCCTTGTAAGGGCCTTTTTATAGCGTTTGAGATTACGGCACAAGTAGTTCTTACGCGTGAGCTCATAGTGGTTGCGGAAATGCGGTACGCGCTGATGAGGACGCAGTTTTTTCCGATCACCATCCAAGACCTGCCGTAGCACATCGCCCGTATCGCACCACCACAAATGCCAGCTGATATCTTCGGAATCGACTATCTCGAGAAGTAAAGAGAAAAACAACGCTTTAGTTAGGCCCTGCGCACAATAGAGAAAATATTAGGAATAGGAATAAAATATTAAATATCAATCAGGAGGAGCAATTTGGAATTATTTTACTTCAAACAAGGGAACGGAATGGATTAACGCATAATGAAATGAAAAAATAAAAATTAGAAATAATCAATCCATTCCGTTTCTTTGTTTGAAGTAAAATAATTCCAAATTGCTCCTCCTGATTGATATTTAATATTTTATTCCTATTCCTAAAATTTTCTCTATTGTGCGCAGGGCCTTACTCTCTCTCTGTGTAATATACAGAGCGTCCCCAGAATTAGACCGACAAACTTCAGGTGGTTATAAAGGACACCAAAACAAGTCAATTTTGCTAAACCCATGTCCGCAAATGAGCCGTTTTGACACTAGAGAATCAAAGACTAACAAGGGAACTTCGCGAACCCGAAAATTCTGATTTCGATGAAACTTTATACACATATGGAGGGGGGGGGGGGGAAATAGACGAATTAGAAATTTCCAATTGCGGCCCAAAAACGATTCTAAGGGGTGAAATCATCCCTCATATATAAAGTGACTTTTTGCTTTTCTCGATATATCTCAAAAATTATTCGAGATATCAAAAAATGTTTTATATAAAAAGTTCATGGTAAAAGCACTTCTATTTAACCACATTAATAAAATATAACCATCTGAAGTTTATTGGCCTAATTTTGAGACACCCTATATATATACAAAAGGGAAAAAGAAACAGAAAGGAGAGAATTTATTAAAAATATCTCTGCGAAGGAAGAGGAGAGAGAAAAGATTTTAAGCTTATTAGTTTTTTTTTGTATAAGAGACTACCTTTTTATTTATTTTATTGTTAATTACACAATTGCAGTCTTTTATATTATGGCCATCTATTGTGTAATTAACAATAAAATAAATAAAAAGATAGTCTTATATAAAATAAACTAATATGTTTAAAATCTTTTCTCTCTTCTCTTCCTTCGCAAATATTTTTAATAAATTCTCTTTCTGTTTTTTTCTCTTTTATTAATTGCGATTGTATATAGATTCTATAGTACATTGAAAACTTGATTAAATTACCTGGGTCCAACCTCTTGCCAACATCACCTCGAGCAGCGTCGAAGAGAAATCACAGCGGAATTTGACGATTCTGTTTCCATCATCTTGCTTCTTCTTTGAGTCACAAAATTTTTTTTCTCTACGGGATAATTTGGTCATCTCGATCTCCGAAGGAATAACGCGCAGATTTTCCGGTATTTCCTGTGCGTTATTCATGACTTATCGGAATAAACATATTTAGACATATTGGGAATGATTCGCATTTATTCGTTAATACAGCGTGTCATGAGAAATTCGATTCGTTTTTTAGTTGTATGTAATTCAAATTTTTATTAATATTGGGATTAATTCAATTTTTCCAAGCAAAAAATTATTTTATATTAATTAAAATTTAATTTATGATTTAATTAATAATAAATCATGGATAAGTGATTCTACTCTTTTCTAATTAATTATAAATTTTTAATATCTAAACATTCCATCAATTTATTCGCACATATACACACACATACATATATAGACTCAGCTCATTGGAAATTGGCTTGAGGAAAGTCAATGTCATTGCGAGTCTGAAAATACAATTGGCCACTAGCCGAGGCCTGTATTTTCTAACGCGCATTCAATTAGTCGCATTTTGCTGATCTCTTGTCGTCGATGTTTTTTTCAGTGTAAATAAAGATCAAAGACTTTAAAATCATTCTATAAGGTGTATCAAAGGTGTTTCGAATGCCCAAACTCGCATTTTATCTATCGTGCTGCTTGCAACCTTTTCAATCCTTCCTAGGAAAATACTCTCGGGGAGATAGATATGATTACATCGAATATATACCACTATATCAGGTGAACCTCGCAACTCTTCGTAAAAATTCTCATGCAAAATTAAAAGAAATTAACATACCAATTACATGCATTATATAAATATATAAAATTTTTTTTTGTCATTATTATTAATATCCTACTTCTTGCATTTAAAAAATTGACATAATCACCCTTTATCTCCATATGTGTGTGCGCATGTATACATACACAATACACACATATATTAATTTAATTTTAAAAATTGATCTATTTTAATTCTACAAAAGCTGCTATATTATTAAAAGTTAAACATATTTGATTTTACACAAGTTATGTTTTTCGTTATATAATTTTGTTTGTATATGCAACAACGTAGAATATTTTTGTGCATAAAGATTGGACAAATCTTTATGTTAAAGGAACTGGTAAGGCAACTAATGCAGATTAACTGAAATCCTTTCGCTGATTTTTTTGACGTGATTTCGTAACAGGACTCGCTTTGCTTGCAGACTTTCACGCGGCAATGAGTCGCATGCATTTTTGATCGGGCATATATTTGATGTTAATTTATTAACGAATACGAAGAAATATTTATATTATTCAGCGATATTACCAGAGTTAATTGTTATCAGAAATATTATTATCCACTTAATTACTTTAATAAACTCGATTATAATTTAGCAGATGTGTTGAGCAAATCGTATTAAATAAATGTAATCATTAATTATATACATTTATAACGTGTATCTTTTATAAGAATTCTTTCTGGTTGATTTTCAGGTCGAAGCAGGTGATGTCATTCTCAGGGTGAACGAAGTTGATGTCAACCGATTTAGTACGAAAGAAGGTGAGAATATTGTATCCACCAAATCTGTATCATTAATCTCTAAACCCCATAGAAATTTATTCAATTTGAATTCAGTTTTTGTTATTTTATCATCAATCTTTTACTGTATACATGTATAGGACACATACAGATTTACTAAAACTTGCTATTTGAATATTGTGTCTGAATCGCACCAATTACTTTATTTTGATTATTTATAACGTATGGAACAGTAATTAACATAAAAGTGACAGAACGCGACAAATGATACACATATGTATATATGCACATATATTATTCTACTTGTATCGCATTTCTTCGCTTTTAATTATAAGATCATAATTAAATAAAAATTAGATTAATATATATAATTATATAAT